ATTTTACAACTTAAATGATGTCTTACATTAAAAGGAATTATACTAAACAGTTACACTCTCCAATTTTAATTAAAGATGGAATTATCCTAAAGCCAAATACCCAGTTGTTTGCAAGCACTTAATGCTAAACTGGACTAGAATGTGCATCACAAAACACGGTCATTAGAGAAAATCCGAACAGTTGAAAATTTCTGGTGAAGACAGAAAACAAAACAATCTTTCCTCGATGCAATGGCAGCACATGCAGTAAACAGCCTTGCAAGCTTCTCCTGAAAAGCAGCGGGGAAGTGAGTGGAGTTCATTTATGTCTTCCCTCTTTGTGTAGGTGGCAAGCTACAGATTAACCTTCCTAACTCTTGCCTAAGGCCTTTGGTAGGTGGTGTTAGTCTAATTTAATTGTGGTGGTTTAGGAGGTTATAGTCTTTAACCCTATCCTTTCACACTCTACCTAAGGTTTCTGCTTTTTTGGTAGTAGCAGCAAGAAGTCTATGTGTACTGGTCTCTCAGATACTGCAGTTCATGACCTGACTTAAAAACATAATCACCATCATTTTCAAGTAACACACAAGGCAGGATAAGCACCAGGCTGTGAACTAAAGCATCTGATAACCGGCACACCCTCACTGCTGTGGCAGTCTCAAGCTCTGGAAGCAGGGACAGGAGCCTCTTGAACCTTCTGCAGCAACCACTGCAGAGCTTACTGCCTCTGTTCAGCCTTTGGAAGAACAAAGCCAGAAACAGCAGCTGATAAACAAAGCCTTGAGTGCTCTGATCAGTACAAGGGTGAAAATGGGTTCAGATGAAACAACTCTGAGGCAGGTCTGATGCAATTAATACAGTTTCTAAGGCATTGGATGTGCCTTGCTAGCAAGTCATACTCTCTGTGTTATCTTTCTAATGTGGTCTAAAAGAGCAAAACACTTTACCAAGAATTCTGTTTCCTCTAAAAAAAACAAAACAGGGAAATGGAGAAAGAAATGAGAACGTGAACAGTTTACAAAGGGTTTTTCATTTACAGCAGTCCTGTCCAGTGAAGCTGTTTTTTGGAGTTGGGCATATTACAAATGGGAAGGAGAGGTTTGTAGTTACCAAATTTTAGGTGTACATTATATCCTATTTGCTTTATAAGAAAAATCATTATCTCCTTTTGGATTTATAAGAAAAATCATTAAATTCGTGTTTTCACTAGATATCTCCTCAGATGACAACACTGACAGAAGGGAAACCAAAAAACTATTAATGAGAGCAAGGAATATAAACCTTTTTGTTCTTAAATTAATCCAATTTCATGCCTTCTCTTTTAAAACAGAAACATCAAGTTAACACGACACTGTCACCTCAGTTTAGACTCCTAGATTTAAAATCTTATCTGCAGATATAAAAACCTTTGGTGACATAAGTATCATAAATGTTTATTGAGTGTGATTAGAGGTGAGGATGATTTACATTTTTGAAAATTGTACACTACTTTTAATGACTGGTCTTTTATTTTTAAAGTGCCTGCTAAAGATATTTCTTTACAATTCACATGAGGAAGCCTATAAGGGCTACATCCCCAAGAAGATGATTTCAGGTTTGTGTCCAAAATTTATGTTCCTCAGCCTGGAATGGTGATCTTCAAAATTCTCTAGCAGTAGCTGCATAATCTTGATCCTATCAAAAATTTGTAGGAATCTCATACTTCCTTGGTAGTGTACTTCCATGTGCCCAGAGACTGCTGCAGGGAACGCTTTGAAGTGTCTCTACTTTGATCCTTCTGAGAGACTGGGTGACAACCATGTCAAATCACAATAGAGCTTAAGAGTCTAACTACATGAGAGGGTTCTGTGCTGTGAATTTTCATTCATGGAACATCTCTAAGTCATGGGAAGTAGTGCAATTTTACAAATACCTCTTTCAGCTGACTTTGCTATTGTCTTGGGGGTTTCCTTGGTTAGATTTCTGGGATGGAATTCTCAGGAAACTTCACAATAGGAAACGAAAAAGTTGTTAAGGCAGTTTAGTTGTGGATTTTAGAGCAGTGAATAGTGTGTGGGAACCCATCTTGCGCAGCCTCAGATAAATGACTTAGGCTCTTTCTTGTTTAGTACTTCCATCTATCAAAAGAGATGTGAACTTCCTGAGGATAAAACAGTGTCCAGGTGGGCTCTGCTCTGAAACACCCCTGTGATTTCTCCAACTATACTGTGAACAATCCATAAATCTTTATGCACTTCTGTGGAAACAGAATCAGAATTCTCCACAAATGCTTTTAAAAGGAGCATAGAAGAACCCATGAGACAAAACTGACCTGCTATGGCTCATGAGCACAGACAGAAAGAAAAGTCCTATGAGGCAGCTCATACAGCAGTACCATATCATATGGTGCTGTATAATACTTAGCAAGTAACAAAGAGCTCTATTTCATACTTTAAAAAGATTGTAAGTACGAAGTAGTGTTACTAATTCATTGAATCTACTTCATGAAAAATGAAAGAGAACCTTCTCAGGATTGAGAATTGAGCTTCCTGAAAATAAACTGGAAGCAAGAGGATGCATGGGAGAAAGTAAAGAAATGCCTAACTCGTAAATTTTTGATAATTCAGATATTGTTATTGGAATGGATAAGAGTGAACAGACAAGTTGTTACACAAAACACCTAAGACATGACAACAAGACATCAGTTCTACGTTCATGTACCACTTGTGTGTGGTCTTATTCAGTTTGGGGAAATTCTCAATTGCAGAGGCATGCCGGAAAGAATTGTAAAGGAGGAATATAGCCTTGTTATGGAAGGTGAAACAAGGTGTGAAACTGAACTGAGATGAAAGACTGTTGATTTCTGCAGGATGGTGAAAAATGATGGTTTTATACAGTGGGATGGATTCAGGAGACTCATAATGAATTGCAAAACATCCTGAAAAACAAGTAAAAACTGTGAACAGAGAATTAGGGTAAATTTAGGTGAGAGGATGATAAGGGGTCATGCCCTGATCAGACACAGAGTGAACATCAGTGTATGCACCAAGAACTCAGAAAGTAAGGAAGTTAAGCATATATTCTACAGCTCCATAGCTCTGTACTCAGGTTATCTCCTCAGATAAATGGTGGTGACTTTGGGACGAAGGCAGTTCACACACAGATTTCCACAGCATAGAACTGGCAAATTTACTAATCTGCTAAAGTAAAGGAACCAACAGGAGCACAAACACTTACATATAAACTTATCTGTTTTCAGAAGGTAACAAAATTTCAATTTGAAATATTATTCCACGTTTATTCTAGGTTTTTGATAATACTATTTCAGATCTTTGTGCTCAATGCCAGCTCAGAAAATAGTTCAAGTGAAAACCAAAGCAAGTCCACAGTCATCAGCCACATATTTTAAGACAAGTCTAGTAAAGGAAACTCAGGCATTTTGAATTTGTTTCAGCTGCTGAATGGAAAGAAAAAAAAGGAGCTGCACGCAGAACATAAATTTAGTCATGATGCCACTATACGAACACTTTGTAAGCCTTAGCTAATTAGTCCATTCAAAATCCCTGCTGGGAAAAGAAGTGATATTCCTCCAGTTTTACAAATGAGGGATTGGAAGGAAAGTGACACTACTTTAAACGTCTAGCCCACACACACAGAGATTCAGCATGGTGGAGTGTAATTAAAATTAAACAGTGGCTAATTCTTACTGCTGAGCTCAGACTGTGCTTTTCTGCACAGCCCAAAAGCTTAGCAATGCATTCAGGAGAGCAGTGGAGAGGGGAAGAAAGATATTCCACTGAAGCTATTAAAAATGCATGTGCAAAAAGGAAACAAAACAAAGGGTAACTGAACCATTCACATTCATAAGCATAAGTTATTATTATTACTTGTTTAGCATTGTTTAAAAATGTGCTTCACTGCAAACTGTATTATTAAAATGTATTGAGAGAATTGATTATACAAAAAAATTAAGTAATTTCTTATTATGCAATGCAACCATTTTGACATCTTAGTACTGTCTATTTCTATACCAGTACAAAGGAACTGTAAGTTTGCATTACAGGGACATTTACTTCACAGCTGCATGAATAAAATTATTTCAAGCAGCAACCCTTATATAACCTCTCAGTGTAACTTTGATTTGCAGTGTGATTTCCAGCAGCTCTTATTTTCACAATGCTTCAGAAGTCACCATGTAGGCATAGGATACTTTATTAGCAGCAGTAAATCAAGCATGACATCTCTGCTGAATATGCTAGGGTCACTCTTTAAGCTGTCAGTAGTCAGCTTTGCTCTATTATTTCATTGAAACTCTCAGACTGAGATTCAGAGTGAGATCTGATGGTACAGTGTAATGATAATTACTGGTAGGAAAACATGGACTATAGTTATCAAAGCATATCACTAATAGCAAGCAACCTAGAAAATGGTTTGTTCTCATTGGAGCAACATTTCGTTTCCTTTCATGCCCTTGGTTCCCATGAAGTGGAACTTTTTCAGCTCAGACACAGCTCAGACTTCAGTGAGGAAGTGCAAAGTACAACTCTCCCTCTACTCATATTGCCTAGTGTGGCATGAGATGCTCCCTTACCTCAGTACAGTGGGGGTTCCCATGGTGGTACAGCACCCTCTCTTTCTTTCCATTTTGATTAAAGACTATATTTCAAAATCTCACAAACCTTGCTGATTGAAGCGATGCACACGACAGCAGCAGATGCATAGTATTGTCGGCACATCAAGCAGACTGAAATTTAACACTGTGAAATATATTCAGGTGCTAATCAGAAACTTCAGTGTTGCTGTTAAACTGACCTGTGACTGTGAGTAATTGGCTTTGTAATTTTGATTGAAATTGATAAGTCCAATTTTTTGGTCCTACTTCAGTAAGTCAAAATTCTCTCTAAGGTTGCACAAATCTATTTTGTTTGATCTTTGTAAAAGAAGAGTGAGACAGAAAAGTATATGGAAGTAATTTCTGAGTTGTCAGTGACAGATATTTTCTTTTGATTTCACACTTTTGCTGAAGGTAGAATAGACCTTACCGTAGCTGTCATAAGCCTCTTCACTTGTTCCGTGACCGTAGTCATAATATTCAGGCACACTGTAACAAATTCAGAAACCCATGTCACTATTATCCTGAATAACCAACTCAAAACAAAACCAGAGCGCAGCAAATGAAATGTATTTTAACACTCTGACAATGACAGTCAAGTCCAGCAAGTGTTCAAAAACATGAAGGAAAAGGTATCAGTGACAATAACAGCTAATAAAGTTTATCACATTTCTTATCTACTGAGCATAAAACAAATTTGGTCCTAAATATGCAAACCTAGGAGATGTGACAAAGACAGAGAGAAATTCTATTTGCAAAAATAAGGCCTGAAAAAAGACCATCCACTGTACTGTTAAATATAACTACTGTTAAAACTGCCAAAAGAGGTGCTAATTTCATTTACCTATAATTCCAAACACTTATGCATTATCAAACTCAGCATAGTTTGTTTTCACAAAGTTGACTGTATTGTATGGTGTGGAACCTGTAAACTACTTATCTTTACCAAAAACACTGACAGATTTCCAGCTTTGATCCTGAAGAAGAAAGCATGCTTCCACTGCCTATAGAGAGAAACCTGATTCTCCACAGCCTTCTTCCTTACACAGTTATTAGACATCCATGGAAAGCTTTATACAGTAATCAATCATATTGAAAGAAATGGGGTTAAGGACTGCAAAATCAGACTTATGAGTCTCAAACTAACTTTTTCATTGTTTTCAAAAATTATGTAAATAACATATTAAAACATTATCAAAATATCTTAGGTAGTAGTTACATCCTGATAATCAGCAATTCCCAGTTATTATGTGGACATCAAGAAAATTCAACCTCTAAGACATAATTAAATGGAAATGGAATTATTCACACTTTTGCTATACTGCTATTATAATTTAAAGTTTGCACTATGGTTTTGGTACCTGATACCAAATTCAAGATCAAACTACTTCGGTTCTCAGGTACCAGGCAGACATAACAAGAATCAGTCTCTGACCAGAAAATCTTGCAAACTTCTTGAATTCTACTACATTGTACTTCTTTGATCAGCAGTGAACCAAACAGAAAATGTGACACTTTATCTGTGTTAGTTTTCAGTTGTTGTCACTTTTGCTTCTTTTTTTCTTGGACACTGTGTAATATTGAAAATGAACAGAAACAGGCAATCAGCTCATTATTGCATTAATTATAACATTATTGCTCAGGCCATTTTCCATATTGGATTACTATTTTAAAAATATTAGTTTACCCTTGAGAGAGAAGCTTAGTTGACAGTGGAGTGCAAGTAGAAATATTTCATAAGTGCAGTAGAGATAAACAAGCAATTTGTAACAATTATTTCCTTAAACTAATTTTGACTTCTTTCTTCACAAACAGCCTGTAATCAGATTTTTAATGTCTTGAACTTAATAGCTACCTATAACTATTCTTGGAATAATTTCTGAGAATAATTCATTTGCTCTATCTCACTTGAGACCACTGATTGTGTGTAACTGAAAACTGACAGTCAAGCTGTTTTGAATTGTGCCTGGCTAGGCACAACTCTCACAGTCAGCTTTCAGCTACAGATATCTGTGGGGGTTTTTTGAATTGAAAATTCAACTATAATTGTTGTGCATTAATTTAGTAATTTAGCCAGAAGTCATTCACGTGAGGGAATGAATTACACTGATGTCAGTATCTCAGAGAGATGAAATCCATTTGCTAAAGTAGTTGCAGCAAGTGGCCATACGAGTGACATGAATGAAATCAAGTAATACTTCTAAAGATTTTTCCCAAAGCCAACTGATCTCTACGGGACATAATGACTGCAGAGCACTGACTTCTTGGATAATGAGAGTCATCTAGTTCCTTGAAAATTAATTATCCAAATTTATAAACCATCCTACCGAAGTGGTGCAAGAAACATCTTCTATTTGTAGAACATAGTAAGCATTCTGTATGATTTTAGTAGCCTGTTAAATGAAATTACAGGATGGTGTACGTGAACTAAAGCACTGGCAGCCTCAGAGTTAAATCATATATCTAGTCATATATACAAGGTTTATGGTTTAGACCTAAGAAATTTTACTTGCAATGTTCAAAACAGAGATGACATACCACACAGATCTGGCAGACAGACATATGAAAATTCTAATTTAAGAAGCTGCATTTTGGCATACTGCCCGCTCTCCTGGGTATAGAAGGGCGTTGGACTAGTGAGTGGTGTCAGAGGAGAAGGAGCACAAGCACTTTCATCTTTTGCCACCAGATAAGAAGCTGGTATTTCTTCACAATACATTTTTACAAACCTAAGCAGCTGCAACCAAAGGTCAGCTTTAAAAGGAGAGCATTTGGGACCCAGTCCAAAGGCCAGTAAGTCATCAACAGCAGTGCTGGTTTCTGTAGTCACTGAGCAGGCCTTGAGCCGTTATCCATCAATATAACATCCAGCAGAACGCAAGACTTGCAACAGTAGGTAAAAAATTCATTGCTACATTATTATTGTTGTACATTTTTATTAGAGAAAAAAACACGCAATCGTAGAGATTGTGTGAGAAACACACAATCATAGAGATAAGGATGTGAGCTAAAAATCCTGCAGTGAACATTCTGAACCAAAATACATTATCAACAGAATACTAAGTTAATACACACATCATTATAAAATAAGATACAAGATGTATTTCAACTGTAGAAAGGAAGTAATTTGTTATATACTGCATATTTGATGTCTGTGAGCAACCTAAAAACACATAATTCATAGAACAATACATGACTGTCATCTAAGTTCTCCAACTTTATTTGCCTCAATAATCTTTTTCATAGATTTGAGCCAAAATAGTATTTCAAATTCTCTGCCAACTCACATTAGAAAGTGTTTTGAAGAATATCTAAGTGAAGAAAACTTATTTCTTAGTATGAAATACCAGATTTAAACTCATATTTTGTGAGCCAGACTGCTTATCCATTAGTCTGCTCTATTTTAAACCTCTCTGAATATTCACTGTAATCTATTACATGAATTTAGTTGTAAACATTTTCCTTTGTTTTTTTTAGCAAATCGAACAATGAGTGATGTTTATAAAAATCTGTGATAGAATATGGCTTTACAAACAAGAGTTTTTTTTTTTTTTTAATTCTTAAACTACAGAGAGATATAGTTCATTTGCATTATGGCCAACTGAGAAGGAAACAATCAGGAAATACATTCAGTATAAATAAAACTTGTTTACATAATTTTATAGTTCTCTGACTGTTCTTGGAAAATACAGTGATCATGAGCTCTAGAAAACTGTGACTCTCTTGGCAGTGCTAATTGGAAACAAAACACCATTATCTGTCATTAGCATTCATTACTTTCAAGCAACATAAAGTGTAATTTACTTAAGTACATGCACCCATCTGAAAGCAGGATGCAATACATTTTATCAAGCAGAGAGAATTAACTCATTACCAACTTCTCAGCTTTTACTTGCACTGTACTTTAACATCAGACTTCTGAAACAGAGGTCTTGATGTGCCATGACTTAGACTTTAGTAACTTCCTATACATAACACTTGTGGAAAAACTGATATACACACGGGTATGTATCTTAAAAGTAGTTTAACTGGTTTTGTACCTGATCTCTATCTATATCTCTATCTATATGAAATTTTTACAACAAAGTTGTATGACTCTGTCCTAATTCCTATTCTGTGTGCAAGGAGATTAGTAATACGTATATGGTTAATCTTCATAGTTGTAATCTATTTATGCTTAGTTTTTAATTTTTTATTTTGGTTAATGTTTTTGAACCAGTTAAAGGCTTGGAATTAAGGTTTCCATAAGCTTGTGATCTCTTCTTCTCATGCTGATAAAGACTGATAAGTTTTAAAAAACAAAACAACCAACCGAAAAAACCAACACAAGATGTTCCTTATTTGAGAGATAAGGGTCCATTTAAGTGCCTTCCAACTTGAATTATCTAGGGCTCCTATGATATGACAAAGGCTCAAGTACAGAGACTGTATCTAAACAATAACCTTAAAAGCCAAGAGAGGTTTTTAACCTCTTCTTAACTGGGACGTTTTCAAATTGATATTAATTAAAGGAAAAGCGAATTCCAGTTTGATTCTGTCAACACCTATAGGAAACCACACAGCTTTTTACTCAAAAGGCTGTACAGTGCTTTAAGGTGGTTTAGGCAGAGAACCGCAAACAAAAGAGTTAAGATTGAAACCACAAATCTCTGACTCTTGTGTCAGCAAGTCACCCAGGGGAAGTGTGATGTTCACCACTCAGAGGTCAGCGGGGTTAGGTACAGAAAATCATGACGTTAATGAATAGACTGCATTAGCCTTTGACCAATCTCCTCTTGCACCTGCAGGAAGCTGCTGGCAAGTCACCCTGGGTTAGCAATGTTACCATCTGGTTCCCTGGATGCTCTCACAGCTGCAGTAATATAAAGCAGCAGAACATTGCAAGAACTAAAGAATTCAAGTACTTCTTGTTCCCTCACAGTTTTTGTGTGTGGGTTTTGTTTAGTTCTTCCTTTCTCTCTTTTTGTTCTTTGCTTTTACGTGGTGAAAGATGCATGTAAGCTTTTATTCTCTAATTGCGGAGCACACAATGTGGTTGCAGATAATGGACCCTCTAAAGTCAAAGCAAAAAGGTACAAGAAAGGGTTCACCTGCTTTAAAACTGATAGTATGTGAATCTGTACAGGAGAAGTGTGTTCTGTAGTCTATCCTGATATATCCTAAAAAACAGAAAGCCTTTGATTCAAACCTGTTGATCTAGATTTAACATACATATTTCCCTGTAAAAACATTTTTTTTTCTTTCCTAATGGTTGTACTTTTAAACTTGGAGAGTATATTTTAGTACAATATAAGAATCTTTTATTTGGAAAAGTTTGGGAATGCTGGTCATTTTAGAAAAAAGCTTTTTGATCAACCTAAAAGTTATAACTCTGCCATTAGATAATAATCAGGCTTCTTTTGTGAAATAAATGAATTGGTCCAAACTAGAGATTCAGCTGATGCCAGTGAAGTTCCACAGTTCAGATTCATAATGAAACAGACTAAAAA